TATGCTCTTAACTCAAAATTTAATTTCGAAACTTTTTTAAAATATTAAGTTAAGTAACTTCTTCATGTGTTTATGTTGAATTTTTCATTAAACTTAAATTTTATAAACTTTACATAATTGTCAAGATTTCCATATCAAATCATTAAAAAAAAATTAATGCGGAACATACTTTAATCCATTGATTTGTATTTTGAATGATGAATCTTGAAATTTTAATCTTTCGTCTTGAAAATCAACTTGCAATCTCCTCTGATTTATCTTCTTGCTTTTAATTTTCATTGTTTTATTCTTCAATTTAATTGTTTCAAATATTCTTCTTGATTCTTAATTGTGGGTTTTTGGATCTTCCTGTTAATATGTTTTTTCTCTAATTTCTTATGTTGATAGAATGACACTAGGAATGAGAATTACAAATGAATCGTGGACCATAACCCTATAAATAGTTTTCATATGCATTTCGCCCATCATAAAATATAATTTTAAAGGAATCTGGTCTCTATACATATAAATCGGGCCACACATTATATAGATGCTCAAAATCCAGATCATTTTTGAGTCACAGATTATTTTGAGCTCACAAATTATTTTTTAATCACATATTATTAAATTTTTAGATCATAGTTGAGTAATTGGCCCAAATTACCAAACATTTGGTTACAAATTACCGAACATTACAAAAAATATCACCACTACCACACAAAAACACTATCCAAATATCTAGTACACTGTTGGCGTAGCTAGAACCACTACCATTGCGCCAACACGAACACCAACGTCGCCAGAAACCCCACCACCTCACGACAACCAGTGGCCGAAATCTCCATCTCAAACAAATTGCCTCCACCACTACCGATTCACCACCACCGCGAACACCAACAAACCACCATTGTCAACTATAAAACCACCACTTCCACCGCTAAATTTCAATAAACCCACCCCAACCACCAGATCCACCACCCACCACCACAAAATCGCCACCATACAAAATACTACCACCACTACACAAAACTCACTGCAACCATTGTCGGTGAAGCGTCATGATGAATAGACGGAGAGATTGCAGCATCGCAACGGACATCAGTATATTAAACAACAGTAGCAGCCTTCGCGACGAACATCAACTGTTGCAGCGTCGTTAACAGCAGCGTCGGCCTTTGATGCCGCAGCGTAGCCGACCGACGCAACTCCATCGTCGATCACCAACGTTCGAAGAGAGAGATGAAGAGGTGAAAATCGGGTAAAGAAGATAGAGAATGGAGAGAAAATGAGAGAGAGAGAGAGAATGAAGAGTGATGAATAATTAGGGTTTGGGTAGATGAAGTCAATTTAATTTTAAGATATTAAAAAGTTTAAATTGATACCTGATTTTTGAATTTTTTTTACCAAATCTGATTTTTGAAATGTGATCTTGAATTACCTGGATTTGTGTAATTTCCTCAAAATCCAATTACTTAATTCTTTATTAGATCACTTTAATTTTGGGCTCAACTTTAAAATAGTCTTTATACACAATTAATTATATATGTCGATCCACGTGGCAAATTAAATAATTTACCAACAGTTTAAACAAAATTCAGGTCAAAGGTATATTTAAACACTTTTTCAAAAAGTGCCTTTCTATTAAAATAATTATCATTTTTTTCAAAAGAATTATTAATAATATATTTTCTTAATAAAATAATTTTATATATGAATTCATAATTTTCTCTACATTTTAATTATATTATCCAAAAAAAAATTACTTTTCACAAAATCACAAAATAATTTGCCACTATAGTCCCTACGAGTAGCCTTTGGAATTTGTGGTGGTGATTGTTTCCATTTTGTCTTCCTCCGCGGACCCCGCCTAGCTGCCTTCCAATTACCTTCAAATTCCGCTAGAAAACGGAGTCACACTCATCCCCGTGCTATTTTTAAAAATAAAGAATAATGTTGTTTAATACTCATTCAAGTTATCACATTTAATATGTTCAATTAAATAAATCGTATGACATTATAGTTAAGTGAATATATCATTTAATGTCATGCAATTATCACTAAACTGGTACTTATTATCAATGATACTGAATAGCAATACTCTTTTAAAAAACACCATAAGAGGTCACCAATTTTTGTCCGGATTTCAGTATTTGGACTCGTAGAATCGGCCAATGGATACTAGTATGTTTGGGAAGTATTAATAAATTATTTAAATTATAAAAAGATAAAATGAGTGATGAACAATTTAAATAGCACTCTTCAATTTCATAAATATATATAAATAAAAAAAAGTGACTTGAATACTTGTAAACATGAGCCTAACATATTTGAACTTTGCTATGTGCACAGCAAATGTGGGCCCCACCCTCATGCGTGTGGGCTGTGTAATTCACTGTGAGCCCCACCCCATGCGTGTGGGCTGTGTAATTCACTGTACAAAAATGTTGTACAACAAGCTTTTTTCAACATATTTCCAAGATAAGGGTATAAAAACTTGACATATGTCAAGAACAATTATATGCGTGTGGCCAGCCTTAGTTATCCTTTTCCTAGGAACTTGATGGAGCTATGGGGAAATTATTTACTAAGAAAATTTTAGATCTTTCTTTGTCTAACTTCTAAACATACTCTAAATGAGAGTGATTATCAATCAACAATATATTACACATATAGGATGATGGCAAGACAATAATGTTGCTGATTTTATTCCGTAAGTGAATATAACGTAAACAATTAAGGGTAATGCTACATATACATAACCATTCACATAATGGTTCACATAATTACACGTGGCATGTGATCCTGCCTTTAATTCAACTTTCACACTTACACATCAATAAATGGATGATTGCCACATCACCATTATGTGAACCATTATGTAGAGGATTATGTACAACTAGATTAATCCAACAATTAATACTATGATAAATAGAGTGTCGAGAACCTACGAGAACCAATACCAACTTATTTACTTTAAATATATACTACCTCTAATTTGAAGCACATACAATCCATGTTTGAGATTCATATTTTATTTTATCTAATTATTTGCGAAAATAACCAACTAAAAAAATTTACAACACAATAAACATGACCAAATTACTGAACTCATTCTCCTTAACAAGATTATTTATTTCTACATATATAGGTGAATAATATAATTCAAACTTCACATAAAAAATTACATTTTGCAGAGTGGTTCACAAGTCATCTTTTCTAGCTCATATTTGAATTTTTCCACAGCCAATGGTGGCAAGCATATTGGTACCACAACTCCATCTTCTCCCATAGTGTTCTTGAAATTCGTACAAAAACTAATATTTGAAGTGGCCGAAGCAACTCCACCATACACTGCATGGCCCCATCCAAAATCAACCTTTTCAAAACCTAAACGGGTTATGTCTGAAACAATGAAATTCCAACCTGTTGCGTATTTGGGTCGTTTCTTGATCACCATAAAATCTGCTACTGATTTAATGTACTCTTCACTCATTTGAGCCTTTGCATTTTGAATTAACTGAACTGCATATGACAATGGAGAAGTGCATAAAATTCTGGCAGTGGATACTGCTGCCGGATAAACGAAAGCATTGCCGTAGTATCCAGTTGGTATATTCAGGTCTGGCTTGCCACGTACATTGGTAAGGACTGAAAGACGAACGGTCTCGTCTGGATTAGATGGATTTAGCGCATTCGTACGACATTTCCATAAGCACGCTATTATCACTTCAAATCTTGAGCACCTACGAAAACTTCCCGACAAGGATAGATGATTATATAGTGCTTGTATATCCTTAGGACTAAAGAAAACGGCAGCCCGAATTAGCTTGTCCGAATCCATGAAGTCTGGTGATTGTAGTATTTGTTCATATTCATGGTGGATGCATGTAATTCTTGGGGGAGATCTTGCATTCAAATATTGTTCTCTGTGCCATGTAGGTGAAATTGAAGGTGCAGATGCACCTTTCGCTAATTCAGAAATAGCATTTAGAAATTGCATAATCCCATAACCATCTGCCATAGTGTGGTTCAATCGGATTCCTAAAGCAAATCCACCACAAATGAATCTGGTTACCTGCATTTAGGTTTAATTTAAAAAATTCATTTAAGTACTTACAAGCTACTTAATATCACCCATAAGATTCTTAAACATAACTTTCAAGTGCTAATTGTAACTTGTAACCATTAAAAGTAAATGTTATACAGCACACAAACTCTCGTGATTCAAATCATATTGTCACCTGTTTTATGAAAATTACACTCTAGGTGTTTGATGAAAATAATGAATTCAACATCCACGTGAAGAAGTATATATACATTTATATACCTACTTACATGTTGGGTAGTATGTCCTTATATTATAGTTTTGTTGTAATAAATAAATTTATTCATAATCAACGTACAATGATTGACATGTTGTACTTGAAGTTTATAGTGTTTATTATTTTGGTATTCGAGTTTGTGATTTGTTCTTATAGTAGAAATAATTAAATGATAATACTAGTACACTTGGAGCGTAATTAATAGACCACGTCTAGATCAATTTTATAGCATGATCATACAGAACATAAATCCACTTGATAGTCCGGTTTATTCTAAATTCTAGACAAAATTGTTTATATCTTCTCGTGAATTTAACGATTCTTTGATTCACCAATGCATGACATCAATTTGATTGATCATATATATTGGTGAGTTGAGAATTTGAGAATGAGTAAATAATACGAATTCTTTTCGAGAACCATCTATCTGAAAAATGGGTTGAATGACTACTCAAAGTATTTTCTATTGAACAATTAAATATTTGAGCTCCATATTTAGTTATCCCTAAACTTCGACATCTGTGACTTGTTCACGTGACTGCTAAAAAAAAAAAGAAACTTAAATTAATGAAAATAATTTGGAGGGTAAAGTTGTCACTTATGTCAGTACCTAATTATTGGATCTTGAATGGGACGAAACTTGTAGATCAGAGGAAAATACTATTAATATTTTAGCTTCTGTGATTTTAAATATTCTGTTAATGCAGCTTTTTGCTTTTAGTAAAAAATAAAATAAAATAAAGATTAATAATTAGTTTTGATGGTCTAGAATCCACTAGAAATTATCTAATTATTGGAGCTTGAAAAATGTATGGCTAAACATGACTTCATGGTAACTCTATAAAGCTTTGGAGTCAATTGTAATTACTTTGAAATATTTTGAACATAATTATAATTGTAATTAAGCCTTGTTTATCCCTCATTATTTGAAATTTTAATGGTTGGAATAGAGTTAAATCCACTATGGCCACCCAACTTTATACTTGGTGTCATCATGACCACATAATTTGATTTTGTTTCACCATGACCACTCAACTTTATACTTGGTGTCATCAGGCCACCCAATTTTATTTTATTTCACCAAGACCATTAAATTTCATATAATGTTTTAGCATGACCATCCAATTTCATATA